AGTATTCAGTAACAATACTGTATAAGAAACTACACATCCTGAGAACAACAATACCTGCTCATAACATAGAGGGGAAAAAATGTGGAAACAAGATCCAAGCCTTTAATTTCTCAAAGGATAATGCTAAATAATCAGAACATCATCGCATTAATCTAAGATGTATGTTACTTACATTGGGCACAAACAACCACAGTCAGATCCATATCAATTAAAAAGTCACGTTGTGAGTTTCATACCTGCATCACCCAAAAGAGAGGAGACAGCCAACTTCGCTGCCATATAGCGACCTTCCTGCTCCTACCACTGGACCAGTCAGCAACAGATGCTAACATTTAAAGTGAACAAAATAACTACCAAGTGCCATTGGGGAAAGCTTGAAATACAAGGAACAGCAGTTTGAACTTGCCTTTCCTGTTGTGGAGTTACAGTCGCTGCTTCAGTTCAAACCCAGCCTGCTAGTAACACGTAGGCCAAACCTGAGGAGGATCAGTTCTATGGATACAGTGGTAGAGTTATAGGATTGAAACGTTTTGTACCACCTGAATGTTGTCCTGCCATTATTTTGGCATTTTGACACTGTCTTTAACTGCATGGTCGTAATCCACTACCATACAGATTAGAAATGAGTAAACCATGTTTAAGTGTGTCCTTTAGGTCACAAAGTCATAAACTCAAATGTTAGAAATTAGCAGATATGCATTTCTCTGCTTCTTCATAATTTTGTACCTTTTTGCAGTCAGCACTGAATCAGACAGATGCTGTGTTGCATAAATGTGGGCATACGAGGTAGAATTAAGGTTGCACAAGCCATCTGTTCTAACTTTCAAGTCTTGTCTCTTCAGTTTAAATTTCTTTCTTTTAAAATAGATACTGAAATTTATTTGGGAGGGTGGTATATAATGTATATGTATTTGGATTTTATGGGGAGGGAGGGGGAAATAAGCACCTCCTGCAGCACTTCAAACTGTTGACCAAAGCCCTTTACAGCACAGAACACAGGACTATGGCTGTCACTTTGCTTACCAGAGTAACTATATGAGCTTGGTGCAAAGGACAGCTATTATCCCAGTGAGAGGAAGGAATATTCACTACAACATCTTCCCTAAGAAGAACCTGGAAGAACTCATGCTTCATGGGAGAAAAGCTGTTTCTCTTCTCATAAGCTGCTGGCAGCTCCTAGCCATTGCAGCACTGTGCGAGCAGCTACTACTTTTGTGGCAGGATGAGCCCAGCCTTCAAATATCTCTGCTGAGTTAGTATTTTGACACAGAAGAAGATTGGAAAACAAGCAGATTTTCTTCTTAGTTAAAAAACAAAATAAAAAAAATACTAGTTTAATAAAAAAACCCACAAGCTGGGACTTGTTTTAATCTCACCAAAGATAAGATATTTCAAAGACAAGCCCTTTCCTTACTGTCAGGCATTGATACAGACAATAGGAAGAGATATTAGCACTTCCTAAATCGAACAGAGAAGAGTAGTATAGAAATCTTTTATCTGAGGAATCTGCATAGCAAAAGGGTTGCTATTAAAAATATGATTGTGTATTAAATAGTTTCTGGATATGTAGCATACTGCTTTCCGCCAGTATAGACACTCCAGATTCCAGTGCAGTGGTACATGTTCAACAAAAGTACTGTTGTCACGTGAGCAAACAGGTAGGTATTAGCACCTGAGAGGGAAGTTGTTGGGTGGCTATCTTACTACATAAAGCCAGAATTCAGGTGTTTGGGGTTTTCTTTTTTTTTTTTTTTTTTTTAATTACATAATACCATTTACTTTTTGTTGTTTTCTCCTCCCAAAGTAAGTATTTCCTAAGCCAGAAAAAAGGCAATAGCTTGACATTTCTGTATGTTTCTAGGCAGTAGCTCAGTATGAGTGGAGAGCAGAAACATTTTGGAAGTGAAAAGATGTTTGTGGGAAGACAAGGATATGAGTTGTAAAGGAGAAGTGTATGGGAAAGGACTGACGTTTAAAGATCCTATGGTTACGACAAGGTTAGATTCTAGTTAAACTAAGCTAAAATGCATTAACTTGCATCTGTTCCAAAGGAAAAAGTTAGAACTAATTTGAGGTTTACAAATGCTGACCTGACCTTCGCTCTTTCTTCATAATCCATGCAATATTTCCTTCCTATAAATTATTAATTAATCTACAGTGGGTTTTTGCCTTGTTTTGATGAAGGTGTCTCTGATAATTACTAGAAGTTCATCGAGCAATGCAAGCTAGTGAGAACTTAAATTTTATATTACATAAGCAGAAAACAGCAAGAGATTTTTCAGGTGGATCCTTTTCTCTTTGAGCACCTCTAGTGAAGTATCTCCAAGGAAAATATCTTCACAGTGAACTTTCCAGAAGGTAGCAGTAGTGCAGAGCCTGCCAGGTTGGAACTGTAGAGTTAATTTGTGATTACAGTAGCCATCTAGTACCACCTTCTGCTCAAAGTAGGGCTAATCTCAGAGCAAACAACAAAACAGAAAAAGTAAATGAGCTCTTCAGTGTCTTTCACCAGTGCAAAACTATTTTTGTTTAAAAATTGCCTATAATTAAAACTGCAAAACCCACAGAATAGGAAAGCACTAAGTGACAGCATTTGCAGTGTAATAAATCAATGTCAATGGAATCTGATAAGTGTATTTGGAAACTGGATTCAGTACTGCCATGGGTTTTATAACAAGTTCATTGGGCTCTGAGGTTCTGAAAACAAATTAAAAAAATAGATGAAAGAAAGAAAACGTTACTTTAAATGATAGATATTACTGCTTATAGTGTTACTTCTTTTACTGAAGCATTAGTGAGTTAGATGCCATCCATGCCTCATGAAACAGCGATGATGATTTTTTGGCCATTCAGAAATGGCATACCTTTAGGATGGTAGTCACTGTCACTAGTAGGAGTGCTAGTGTATAATACAGCAAAGACATGTGCCGTTGTACCAACACATAGGTAGTAAATGACAAAACAAGGTTTAGCAGAGAGTCAAGCATTTAGTTGGAATGTACGTGCAGACATGGCTGCTTCTGCACAGCTTTTTCGCAAAGCTTTCACGCCGAATCCAGTACAAATTAAACCTTATCACTCTGGCATGCGTGCTTGGAAACAAAGCTCCTAAGTAACAGCCCTACCTTCAATAAAATAATGAACATGCTTGAGAGTAATAGAAACTGGACCCACACCTTCCAGCACTCCTACCCTGGTTGCCAAATTATTCGTTCCCTAAGCAAATGCACCTCCGTGTACGTGTGGACTCAGAACCACATATCGTTGTGGGCACTGGGGAAGCATATGTGCAAATCAAAAGTGAAATTTTCTGATTCTTTGCAATAATTACCTATTGCTGACATGTAAAATGCCTACATGCAAAATCCCAGTGGAAAGTAAGACAATTTTTTTGTCTCTGTAATTAACATGTTTAGGACATTACGCAGCTACCACATTATGTTGCTAGAGGGTGTTTTTAATACTCTAGTTTAGAAATTTTTATAACTATTTGTTAAAATTTAGCCAGCCACAAAATGCAGGTGACAGTGGCTTATCCCGATTCCTGACATTGTCAGGCAGAGAAATACATTTCCTAAATTCATAAAACTTTTGGAAAATATATTTTTTAGTTCATATGAAGATGCCATTAAACTATATAAAAGTATAAAAAGCATTCTTTTTCAGTGGTTTTTTGTTTGTTTTTTGTTTCTTTTGTTTCCAATGGAGGTCTGGCTGGATTTTTCCATCTGCTGTGCTGGCTGTTACTGCAGATGGTCATAATCTGTACATATGGTATGTGCATGTATAAACTGAAATCAGTGTTGTCTTGGGGTAAAAGCAGGCACACAACAGGAACTTGGATGCCTAACACAAGAATATTTGTGAACAGGATAATTTAGAGCATCTTAATTTTCTAGGGGAAATTTATATAAAATTTTTGGAAAGAATCATTTACTGTTTGCTGGAAAAGAAATAAGAAATAAATTACTCCAATCTTAAAAGGTAAATTCTGGATCTGCAGTTTATTGGGAATCAAGTGCTAGCTTCAGCTCAGCCCTGAATCTGTGCCAGGTTTTGGGGTAAATCAAGACAACACCAAACTTTCACAAACTTCTAAAGATATATCTGCAGTGCTCAGAAGTAGGACAGACAGCCTAGGTTTGGAGTCCCTACTTCTAACTTGGAAACAAAGCTGAAAGAGAGATTTTCTTATTTCTGATTATTAGAAAATGGCCTTCCAGTTATGTAAAAATAAAAGAAAAAAAAAAGAGAGAAGTCTTCAGAAATTAGATTATCTTTAGATCTGAAGTTTCTGTTTAAGTCAATCTGACTATCATCAAATGGTAGCTGAAACTCATAATGATCAAAGAAGGGGCAAAAGACCTTGTCATTAAAAATAGTGATTTCCACAGAATCACAAGTAAACTTGCAAGCTGTTCTGCTACCTATTGCAGTGTGCAGTTAACACTGCTAAAAACTTCTGCTTACATATTGGCTCGTGACCCATGTAAAAAAATTATATCTATAAAGTCTTAAACTTCTAGTTAAGAAGTTTAGAAAATTAGGAAAAATACTACAATGATGATGTAGAGAAAACCCTAAAAGCAACTCACAATTGCACTTACAAAACATTCAGCAAAAAGTGCCTAAAAACAAGAAATAATTGGAAAAGCAAGACGTAACGAGGTTATCTGATACATGACCAAATGCATTTTTAACATTTCCTCTGTCTTTTCTAATATCCTCTGTATTACAGTTTATTGGCACATTTGCCCATTCATCAGACAAGCTAACTGTCAGAGCAGGTAATGTCATGACTTTTTTTGTTCCTTTTTTCTGCTTTCCTAATATCTACTCTACTATTCTCTTTGCTAACCTTTCAACCTTTTTTGTACTAGGAGAAGTCTTCATGTATTCAGCTACAAGGCTAGAAAAGGAAAATATATTGACTTTAAAAGGGTTGCTGCCATTCTAATACAACTTTATAAGCTATTGTTTCTTTTTCTCTCTTATTACAGGTTTGTTTTGTGAATTTGGATGCAAACAGAGATGATTGCAGTGATGAGCAAGTGAAACAGGTAACAGATTTTAATAACATGCATAGTGTGTCTAGTCAAGAACTCCAGTACAAACCCAGATCAAAATTCTATGGACAAATCGAAGCCAGCCCTAGATTTTTAACCCTTACTGAGAGTAATACATCAGGAATATGAAATTTCTCAATGCCAGGCCGTATTTTTTAGCTTTTCCTACTTCAGTCCCAGAAATATCTAATGGATTGTTGCAGCCTGTGAATTTACAGCTGTTGTCATGTGAGTGGACTTCTTGCTTAGCCTTGATTTTACCAGAGAAGTGAGCATGGATGTGTCATACATCCAATTTTTTAATTTGGCATAGTATTACATAAAAGTAATTTCTGATGTTGCTCTTTCTTACTGCCAAAAAGCCTTTGAGAAACTTCTAGTCATTTAGGTCCTGTTCAGCTAACTAGTCTTACTCAGTCCAACTCCAATAGTTTCATTATGCAGTCTTGAGAAGGTTTCTAGATAAAACAGAACTAACTAAAGGTGTGTTTTACCCATTTAACTGAAAGTTTGGAGGGTAGAAAAAAGGGATTTAAAAACCCCCCAAAAAACAGCTTTGTTATGTTATAAAAACTGAGACAAATTACATCATGATATGCTATTTAACATACATGCCATTAAAAAAAATCTGAGGAAGTTACATTTTAAAGATATGATGGCCTGGTCTCAGTTTTGAGTTTACATCATCCTTCATCAATTCATTTTTCATTTGATGTCTATGATCACTACAGCAATATTGTTGCAGTATGTGTCAAGAGAACAAAGGTAGAATCTCCTCACAATATCCAAGGAGCTCCCCTCAGCAAAGCATTACAATTAGTTTGCTGATACCACTTTTAGCTCATGGGAGGACAACCAGTGCTGGGACCTTGTCACCTCCTGCAAGTCATTCATTAGCAGGAACTGTTTTCCTATGCAGTTTTCTGCATCCTAGATTTATAAAAATTCAGATGGCAAAAATAAATTCAGCTTCTTCCAGCAGAATTATTTTTCTGTTGAATCAGCAGGTTAACCGTGCAGAGCAGCTTGAGAGATTTAACTTTACTTAATCCACAGAAGCACTGTTTTTTTTCTAATATGCAATGGTTTTATTGTTTTTTTTTACAGTGTTTATTCAGGAACAAAAGCTATACCAAGTGATAAGAAAATACCAGGAGTTTCTCTCTCAATCTTAGAGCTAGATATCTGTAAAAGCCACCTAGCTTTATGCAGCTAGCCTTTACAATGACTGGAGATTAGTTTACTCCCTCACAAGCAGAAATCACCTGCTACTGCATAATTTTTACTTACCAGCCCTGCAACAGTGTTCCATTCACTGCCCGTGCACTCTGCATAGCCCTAAGCTCTTCCTTGACAGCAGAGCCCAGTGGGGTCCTTGCAGCGTTGCACTCCGACAGCTGCTGCTCCCCACCTGGCACATGGAGGGACTGCTAACAGAGAGGCTGCCAGGTTTCGTCACATTTTAGAGGTAGTTTCTGGTGCAGAGTCAATACATTTATTAACCATGAGTGGAAGACAATACTGTTTGTTCTTTTAGTTTTCAGTGTAGGTAATAAAAATTCACTGCTAGCACAAGTACCTGGTATTCTTCTCTAAGAGGAAATTCCACCGTCACAGGTTTTGCGTATCATATGCATTTTGTGTAAGTTCACTTTGGGTGGAGTGGATTTTTATACAACATACTGATGTGGTGAAAGCATTTCATAGGAGAATTTTAAAGATATTAGCATAGCTGTTGTTCATATGAAATATAACTATTTACTAATAGGTACTGTTAAGATTTTGCATTATTCATTGCAATGGGTTAAACTGGGGGGATTTGCTGTAAAGTAATCATCCTTCCGAACTCTGCCTTTTTTTATTCTGAACAAAAGTTAAGGAGCTGAAGTAAGAGATACACAAAATGCTATGATTTCCTACCTAAGAAATCTCATAAAATGTGGCAATTTAGGCAGTAGAAGAATAGAGATACATAGAGAAATGTGTGTTAAGAGAAAGGTTATAATTTGAAAAAACAAAATGATAAGAACTCTTTTGTACTATACTGAAACATCAGTGAATTGAAGCACTGAATTTAGTCATGTCAAATACAAATACTTAGTCTCATCTGAAGATCACTCTACAGAAAAGTAATTTGTTCCCCAAAACTGAATTAGCTTTGCTAAACCAGAAATTTTTATTATATCTAATTTGCTCTGAGGAAAAATAACAGTACCGCAAGCTTATTATTTTGAAGATGAAAAGTAAAGAGTGAGGTATCATTGAACTGCACAGTAACTAAAGCATATGGCTGGGTGCCAGAGATCTGTATTCCCCTGAATGGCTTTTCCATTTGATGAGCTGTTCTAGTGCATAAAATGGATATGGTATTTACTCCTCTGTAAGGCATCATCCCTGATTCCTTGTTCATAAAGCAAATACAGTGAGATCCTTGGAAGCAAAGAATTGCAAGCACTCTTAGAGTAGGTATTGTACTTTTGGTCTGGTCTTTGTACATGAATGAGCAGATGTATCCTCCACACGCTGGGGACTCCCAGCAGTATCAGAGTATGAATCTCCTGTTACATAGCATCATTGATATTGCGACTATTACCACTTCTGGCTCTAGCAAATACATAACAGGTAGAAAGTTATTGTATCATTACAAATGACAAATCATGAAGGTGTCCACTGGAACAGCAAAGAAATGTGTATTTCATCTCTGTATTAAATACCTCCATTATTCCAGGTTTAATATTGCATCAGTTAGATCAGCAATTTCCAGCTAACTTTCCCTTTTGTTCCTTGCTTGTCATATGCTTGGAGGATAACTGGAAGCTCTGCCTTGTTGTCATTACCATACTTACTAAATCTTTTTTAGCTTAAACAGTAACAGGTAGTGTGTTCTTAGTCACTTAGGAACCCACTTGTAATAGAAAGGCTAAGCATTTAGATGCATAAATACAATCAAGCTGTTTAGCACATAACAAGGTAAGGGATGAAAGATTGTCCTGCTGGACAGTTGGGCAAAAGTTTATACTGTCACCATTGTCTTGCCTGGTGGCTCAAAAGAAAGAATGTGCATTTTAATGCTGCCAGTTCCATTTTTAATCAACTCAAAGCAGTAAGTTCCACTAAGCTTTCTAAAGGGATGCCTGTAAATGGTATTTCATTTTGATATTTATGAATAGAACTGTGCAACTCAGATGTCATTACCTGAGAGCAAAATTTATCTTTCATGCTACAGAGGTTGATCAGCGTCTCTCCAAATCTCCCCAAACTCATCAGTTCAATGAATGTACAGCCACCAAAGGAAAACGAAATAGTCCTGCTGAGTGGATTAACATCAGGAAACCTTCAGACCGATTATGAAGTTCCCCAGGTAGGAATTAAACTCGTCTTTAAGATTACATCACATCTGTTAAGGACAGATTTGGAAAATGGAAAAAAAGGATGCTGAAAGTAAAGACCTTGCAGCAGTTTAAGGGATGAGTGGGAGTTTGCAAACATAGAAAAGTAAACTAACAAAAGTCCTAAGTGTGTGTGGCAGGGCAGGGAATGGTGGGGGTGTGTATGACACAAAGACAGGAAAGAAATCCTGCTATTCCCTCTACATCTTGTGGACATCTGGGTTGCAGCTGATAATGCTTTAAGCCATTAGTGGCTGATCCTTCAGTGAATGATCCTTCATTCACCGGTGAAGGCAGGCATTGGTGGCAGAGGTGATTGATTCGTACACCTAGATTTCAAGAGCTGCAGGAGTCAGGAGGACAGCACAGAACAGGGAAAGGAAAGATGTAACACTTTGTCTGTGCACATAGTCAGATTGAGGCACAGCTCCTACAGACTCCCTTTCAAGTGAAGTCTTGCTACTTCCCACTTTTGTTCCCAATCCATCTTCTCCCACACATGCACCTCGGAAAAGAGCTGACGATAGGACGTGATAATGCTAGTGGCTACTGTAAGCCTGAATGTGACAATGGAAAATACCAAGCTACTTTAACCATATCAGAGTTAATACCTCATTTAGATTCTGTCAACTTAAAAAGCAATTAATGCATTAATTAAAGCTTAAAATTTAAAGGAGCTAAAGGCAAAATTCTCATGCTAACTCTTTCACTCCCGTTATTGCCAATTAAATGTTCCCTATCTGTGATCTGGAGGATGAGAATTCCTCTTACTGTCACCACATAGAGAAAGGAAGGAAATTAGAACATTTGCTGCAAGCAAAAAACAAGGGCACTGAAATTAATTTGTGTACAAAAGTCTTCATGAAGCAGGTCCTGAAACAGCTGTATGTAAAGATATTTGCATTTTATGTTATACCAAGAAGCTGATCTTTAAAGGGAGAAACCGCCTGGTTATTGAGCTTTCTTGCCACTTGATTATTGACTGAATTTAGAAAGATTTAAAAAAAAATAAGTGCACAAGCTTGTGGCAGGAGCAGTGGAGCTCCAAACCCCACTTCCCTAGAGGGAAGCCACTGCAGTACACACAAGGGTATTTTGAGGCCCAAACAAGATGACTCAAGTCACCCCCACTTCCAAAAGACAGCGGCCATTGAGACTGGCAGCCTTCCCAGAGAGACTGCAGGCAAGACACAAATGGGAACTAACCAGAATTTTGATCTTGTAAGATGAAGAAAGCTGTGTATTGAGACTGGGTGAGATCTATTGGTTAGACAAGTACATGCTATGTTCATCCTTACATTTGTTTGGCTTTCCAGGGAATTTCACTTGTAAAGAGACTCACACAGTTTCCATACAATGATTATTCTGCTCCTCATCAGCCCTTTTCACAAGTACAACCCTGCAAACTGTGGTCTGGAGCAACAGCAGAACATTTGATCTAAGGCTGCATCTGCTTTTATTAACATTTTTCACAATATGGTGTATGCTGAAGTCTGATTCAGCAACAATTTCTTAGTTATCTAATCTGTCTTTTCTGTTTTACTTTTAACACACTAATTTATCTGTTTTTCTTTCCAGACACATTTTTTAGGTGGTGAGAAAGAGCAGGCTAACAAAATATTTTATTCCAATGTAATACTCATCTCACTCCCTTTATTACTGATATTTGCTTTGCATTTATTTTCAAAGACAAAAGATCCAGGATAAGGTTACATTATGCTTAATACTGTGCAAATGCACAAGGGGTCTAGGACATCTTTTGCACAGCTTAAAATCTACTGTCTCAATCCAGAGTTAGTTTGGATTCAGCGTCCTTCCTGGGGGCCTGAAGCTAAAGCACAAGATCACAAGGTGCAAAAGCTTGGCTTTGTTTCAAAGTACATCCATACCACAAACGTAGTCCCATGCAGAGACATCAGCTTAGCTCTGTGGTTGTATAAATATCCAACAGTTTTAAAATCAATAACATGAGAATAATGAGAGTTCCTTTCTCTTAGTTTTTGTTCAACTTTCAACTTAATTGTACAGCTTCTCTGGGTAAGACAATTTTATATAAAGGCTTAACACAGTGGCCAGTGAAGCCCTGTTTCCAGTGGAAGGTTTTACCAGTCTGAAATAATGGAGATTTCAGCAAATAAGGAATGAGAGGAAGAAGAGCAAAGAAACAAAACAAAACACCATTTTAAAACAGTCTGTAGGAACATCTAAAGGTGACCTGTTCTTAACAGCCTCGCCAGCCAGTACTTACCTGACTGCCTTTAAACAAGCATTGCAACAGAAATTATCCTGAAAAGGAATTCATGCCCACAAACAATTCCCTCAAGGGATAAGTAATACCGGGTGGTATGAGGCCATTAATAACTGTATGTCAAGTGGATAACTGTGACATGACTAAAAGCACGTATCTGTCATTAAAACACAAAGCTGATTGAAAACAAACAATTTGGTAATTTCAACAAAATAAAGATGCCCCTGTGATACAGCTGGGTTCTTTACTGAAATGTTTGTATAACAAAAGCGATCAAGTCCAAGCAGTCTTATTTTGGCAATATGCAACTGCACACTGTGTTACAAACACCTAAATGACAAATTGTATTGCATCTTTGCAACAGAGCATTCCTAAGATATTTTAAGCTTCCCTCTGTAGAAATAAGTTTATTTTATAATTAAATAACTGTCTGAAATTCTTTTCTCCTCCAGTGTCCTTGGCTGGCAGATGTCTGCTTGGTTCAGTGTGCAAGGGGGGACAGGAGAAACAGTGCAAGCTGCATCATTTTTGAAATTAACAAGTTTCTGATTGGACTTGAGCTCGTTCAGGAGAGACAGCTGCAGATAGAAGCTCATGTCCTAAAGCCTGAGGATGACACAAACTGCTCAGTGTCCTCAATAGAAGAAGATTTCCTCACAGCGTCTGAGCACCTAGAGGATGACAACGAGGCTGATGAATGTAAAACTGGTAAAAGCGATGTGACTGAGCATAATTCTGCTATTGTTCCTACTGCAAAACAGCCATAGCAATGCTCACAGAAATTGCACTTGATGCTAATTCATGCATGTATTTATTTCTAATTTAGAAAATGAATGGCCATTCATATTTTTAAATTGTTATTCAAAGACAAGGATACATGTTTCTGCAGTAGTTTTGGAGAGCAGTAATGCATTACACAGTTGTGCAGCCGTTTTCTTTTTAAAGTTACAGGGTACTCTGCAAAAACTAATTTCTTCTTTTCCTTTTAATAGGTCATGAAAAGTTAAGTCTTTCAGAAGCATCCTCAGATGTCAAAAAAAATAAAGGGAAGGGATTTGAAAATAGCCACTACAGAAAAACCAGGTTGCCATCTATTCTTGAAGGGACCTGCATTAATGAAGATAATGCAGCTACTGGAGTCTCTGAAGCTGTGAATGTTGTGCCTGAAGTTGCCATCTTAAAACCTGAAGATAAGTCAGACCAGGAAATACCGTTGCAGAAGGAATTAGCTGGAAGAGCTACTTCATCCTTTAGTACTAATACTTTGACTAGCGAGGTTGAAAATTCCTATGCAGCACAGGTTTTAGAAGATGTATCTTTAACCAAAATGGCTAAAGAGGAGGTGGGGCCTCTTCATGACCCAGCAGCAAAACACAACAGTAAGACAGATGGAGACGATTATGCAGGTATCAGGAAAACTGATCCTCTCCCTCAAGATGAACGAGCAACTACAGGTCAGTATGCCACAAATTTAGCAGAATCTGTTCTGCAAGATGCATTCATTAGACTGTCACAGTCTCAACCCACTTTTAGTGAGGAGGCTGCTGTCAGCATCTCGGTAGGAAGCTCCTGTAAGTCAGAAGACACATCTGCTTCCCGATCATGGAATGAACTTCCAAAGATCGTCATAGTGCAAAGTCCAGATAATTCTGATAATGTATCTGACTGGCCAGGGTCTGCCTTCCCCAGCCTGTGTCACCGGACTGAATTGGAAAGTTCTGCTGAAGTTTCAGATTACTTTGAGGAAGGACATTCAAACGGACATGGCCAGAGTGCACTGGAAGTGGCTCTGGCTTGTGCAGCCACTGTTATTGGAACCATTTCTAGTCCCCAGGCTGCAGAAAAATTCAGACAGGATCAAGAAACCACACAGTCTTACAGTGGAGCAGTTGATAATGAAGAGCACACAGCACCTTCACAGCTACTTGACTGTGCTGGCACAGAATATTCATTTCCATCTGCACTGTGTGGCATGACTCAGGTAGCAAGTGCTGTAGCTGTCTGTGGTCTGGCGGAAACAAAAGAAGAGAAGTACCCTGCTACTTCAAGTGGACTTCTGTCTGCTGCTCAGACTTCTGCAGCCATTACTCTACATTGCAGCATAGCTTTAGGAAGCAGCATGGAGAAGCTAAATGATAGCATTGCAGAGGCACTTCTCAAAGAGGCATCAATAATTCTGACAAAACCCAACACATACAAAAATGTAGGGCATTTTATGGAATCCATAAATGGAAAAATTGTTGAAACAGCAGCAAGACCACAGATTCCACACACCAATGAATTAATCAGGGATGAACTTGCACAAAACTTATCCAATATTATTCTACGACATTCTATGGAGGAGGTTAGGAAAAAGAGGCAGCTACACCCCTGTTCAGAAAACTGCTCAAGTACACAAGACATTTTCATGGAGACTGCAAATGAGTTGCTTTTTAACATAGTATATTTCACTTTCAAGAAGATGAACGACATAAGGCAAGTTGAAGAGTGTTCTCCTCTCTTTTCCGGGGAGACAAAGGCAGAGAAAGTAACAAGAGCAGAAGGATGGTCAACACAGGCAACAGAACATGAAACTTCACACAGCCCCCTTGATCACTCTGCTGTTAAACCATTTGATACATCCTACAGCACTAGTTCTAGCAAAGATCTTGTAAATGTCACAAATACCAGGAAAAGTAACATGAAAGATGTAAATAGCAAGGAAAGTGCTACACTAGATTCAGAACCAACAAGTAGAGCTACAGGGCATAATGCACTTGTTGCAAAAACATCTCCCAAGAAAAGATACCTGAAAAGAACAACACGAGACTGTTACAAATCCCCAAATCAGAGTAATAATCATCAGAAGAAGAAAGACTACAGATCATTTTCAGACAGAGAAAACACCTTTGCAAACAACGAATGCAAGCGTGGTGTTCAAGAACAGCTGTCTTCCAGTGCAGTCATGAATGCAGAAAACCAGGCCAAGCATAAGTCTGATGCTCTGCTAAATAATGATGTCCAGGTTAGCTTGTCTTTATTAGGAAATCATGTCTTGCTTCCTTCACAGCCTGTGCTACAGGTGAAACATTCAAGGGACAAATATTGTATAACAGATTTTGCAGAAGAATTGGCAGAAACAGTTGTCTCTATGGCAACAGAAATAGCTGCCATTTGTCTTGAAAACTCAAGTGGAAAGCAACCTTGGTTCTGTGCATGGAAGAGAGGCAATGAATATCTGGTGACCCAGAGTTTATCTTGTAGAACCATGAAAAGGAAAAAGGAAACCCATGCTAATGGTTCAGTTGTTCGGAAGAACAGGGCACCTAGACTGAGTGAGATCAAAAGAAAAACAGATGAGCATCCTGAGCTAAAGGAAAGATTGATGAATCGGGTAGTAGATGAATCTATAAGCCTTGAGGACACACCAGATTCAGTCAATATCTTTGCTAACGAAGTGGCTGCCAAGATCATGAACCTCACTGAACTCTCCATGGTTGATAGCATCTGGCAAGGTCCAAACCACCCCAGGAACAGGCTGCACTGTGAAAGATGGAGCCGAGCCAAAGCCTCAAGCTGTGAGAGCATACCTGAGGAAGACTCAGATTCCAAAGCCTCTTTCAATACCTTAGGCCTGATGAACACCTTTGGTCAACCTGTGAGCCAGACAAGTTCTGTCTCAAAGCAGTCTAGTTGTGAAAGCATTACCGATGAATTTTCAAGATTTATGGTGAACCAGATGGAAAATGAAGGAAGAGGTTTTGATTTATTACTAGACTACTATGCAGGAAAAAATGCAAACAACATCTTAACTTCTGCTTTGCAACAGGTAGCCAAGAAAAATGGCCATCTTAATGTAAGACCGAGTTGCCCATCCAAACAGTCCAGCACTGAAAGCATAACAGAAGAATTTTATAGGTATATGCTAAGAGAAATAGAAAAAGAAAATAAAGATAATGCATCTTCCCCTCGGAATTCAAAGGACTGGTGTGGCAGTTTGCTATCACCCTCTCTACGATCACCTTTTTGCTTTAGGCAATCATCAATGCCTGACAGCAGATCATCAGGTTCTAGGCTAACAGTTAGTGTCCCAGTTAAGGCAAATTCATTAGATGGATTTGCCCATCACCACCAAGATTCCTTAAGTGTACAGCCAGTCAGTACCGTGGCTTCTTCCGGTCTTTGCAAGTCTGACTCATGCCTGTACCAAAGATGCAAGACTGACCAGATAACAGATATGTTGATTCACGAGACATGGGCAAGTTCTATTGAATCTCTAATGCGCAAGAACAAAATCATACCAGACGATGCAGAGGCTGCAGAGGCAGACCAGTTTCACAGTGATTCCCCACCACATGTGGAACAATACGCAAACAGACTGGCTGCAAATATTGTTGAAAGTGGTAAAAATTTAATTGTTGTCCAGCAGGATTCTTTTGATTATACAAGCCAAGAACATGTGCTGGAAAGCAAACATACTCAAAGCACAAGTCAGACTCAGTCAAAACCCAAAAGGGATGGAGTAAATTTGGATGAGAAAAAACGGCATATGAAGAACCCTGGATGCCTCCCTGCAGGTCAGCATAGGGAAGTGCCTTTAATTCAGATAGAAACTGATCAACGAGATGAGCCAGATAAAGGCTCAGCGTCCTTAATTTCATGTAGCCCTTCTGTAAAGGAGCATCAAAGCAAAGAAAAGCCTCCAGAAGCTTTTGATGGGAAACACACAGTTTCCAGTTCACTACTAAATAGGTAAGTGACAAAACAGTAGATCAGCACATTGCTTTTGTGTTTGTTTTAATTTCCCAGTAAAAAATATTTTGATAAAAGATAAGAAGAGAAGCGCTTTCAAAGAAATAAAAGAAAGAAAGTTCTGACTACAGGTTTCTCATGGCATAAAATCACCCAATCATATATCACAGTGCCAGTTTCTGGAGCAAACTTACATTGCATATGACAACATGGTTCCAAGATTGAAATCTAATACTTCAGAGACAAGTAAGTTTTCTCTCTACAGTTGTTTAAGTCTTCCATAGGCAAGACAGGAAAGATGGACAGAGTTTGAATTTTAATTTAGCACTGGCTGATACTGCAATAAGAAAAAAAAAATTAAAAAAAAAAAAAAAAACCCACACCAAAAAAACCCAAACAAACAAAAACCGAAGGTATAAAACACAAGATAGCAAAATTTGACCTCTGCTGTAGTTCTCTGCTATGCTTGTTCATATAACTAATGTTTTGTGTACCTGGAAACAATATCAGACTTTTGAGACCTTGAAGTTCAGCTTTGTCTTTACAGTCTGGAGATGTAAGTAATAAAAATTCTTTAGTGGAAGAAATAAAATTCTAATTAAAAACACCCCTTACCTCTTTTGGTTCAAGACTTCTCTGCTAGAATTCAGACAGAGAAAATAATAAAATTTCATTTTACTACATAATGCAAACGTAGAGGATTGCTGTGGATGTTCAAGTTAAGAGCAAGACTCTCTCTCAAGACATTGCCTGTTTTTAACGATGCTTCATCGTGTCTGTTACTTTAATGGTATCTAAACTGCCAATCACTTGGATCATTGCAGCACCCTGTTACCTCAGAGTGCTTGAGAGAGTGCATGTGCTACTGTTAGAAACCATTTCGCAGCTCATTTTATTCTAGGAAGTGCTCTGTTTTGGCTTCTGACAAAGCTCTGCTTGAAGTGAGAAAGCATGTACTTTCCTGTGTATGGTGGTGATTAGGTGGACAATCATAGTGTCACTGTTCTTTCATACTGACTGTCCCCCACTAACCTCTCTTTTCCTTTGAATGCAATCTGCTTTTAATAACATACATTTAGAAACTTACATATTTGGAATCTTGTCTGTCATTTTTGTACAGTTTAAGAGCCCTTTAATAGCAACTTTTCCTCTGCGTTTGATGCAGAGTTCCTAAAGCAACTATGGGAAGTTTGAAGCATTAGGATTGATAGGGCAGAATTAGTCAGCAGAGGCTACACCTACATGAGTATTTTAGTTCAGCAATGCAGTGCAGTTCTGAATCCACTTGTCTTCATTTCCATGCATTGGCTCCATTTGCAGCATGCAATGCAGATTTCTTTTAAAGGACTCTCAACTAGAAGTTGCACAAGTGTGTACCAGATGCACTCATAACCTTACCAGGAAGGCAAAACTTCCAGTGTTTCTTCACATAGATTTGAACTGCTTGTGGCATGGATGTCTGGACCAAGTCTAGACTAAAGTGAAAACCTAAAGATATATAAATAACATAGACGGAAAAGCATCAGCACTGATTGTTTTGATCCACTCCTACCACATGAAATTACTTGCTAGTGTAGATTCAGGCACATAGGGCTCCAGGCAAATCATCAAGCAGACATATAGGGAACTAGAAAAAAAGAAGTGGGGAGGGAGGGAAAGCCGTGCAGGCCTGGGGAAAAGGTCTTCAGCAAGTTAAGAAAAAAAAAGGTAAGTTGTTTCTTGTACGTAGGCAGTGCAACAGACCCAGTCCTGTCACAGTTATACAGAAACCGTTCCAACTGACTGTTCAGAAGTAGGGAACTGTCAGTTCAAAGCATTGATAGTCTGAGATGTAGTTGCATAATGAATCAAACACAACCCAAAATGCCATGTAACAACGCCCACAAAAATCTCTCATATTTTGGAACAAGCAATAGGTGCTACAGGCCCTGTATTAAAAATCTGAATAACACCTGTATCCTGGCTGCTCAGTGCCTTTCTGTTACTGCAGATGCCTAGTTTTGTATCTGAGGGGTCGGGGATGACAGGCATAGTTATTTGACAGATGCTGACTGCCTGGAAGAGCAGAGGCCCTCAGGCAAACAAGTCCCTTTCTCCCCTGTACAAGAGGCTGCCTCTGCCCCTAGCACCCAGCATTAATGCAGCAACTTAGTTGTCACTAGAGTGAGGGCAGGACAAAAGGAAATATCCACAGTTTATTGTCTCAGTATATTCTTAATCTAATTAATCACTTGGGAGAAGTAGAATTTTGGGGGTGATCTCTTGCTCCAGTTGCAGACGGGATGCCTCAGCCATAACTGTAAATAAAAGTTGGAAGGCGAGAACTTCTCTAGAGGGATCCTGCAGAGGGTTGCCAGTACACATTACGTTGTCTTAATCACACACCTGCAAATGCAGACCATCTAGTAAATTTAACAAAACTACAGTTTTGTATTAATTGCTATTCTGGTGCTGCAGTTATATCACTATCCTTCTCCTAGCATCCAAAAAAGGGACTTTGGATTATAATACACTTTCCTGTCTACATATCAAAAGTCCTACAGCAAGTATCACAAAGTCCAGTTTGGTTCTGAAAAGTAACTGTAAATATAGTTTTTATTTTTTGTTTGTGTGTTTGTGGGAGCGTACAGAATTATAAAGCATTAAGCCACAACATCTCTTAACCTTGATTTTCTAAACTCAATCTAGACCTGCGTGTGCAGTCTGGTTTCTGACTACCTGCTGCACACCTATCTAGAGAAAGAATACTTTGTCCTTCCCCAATCTAAACAGCAAAGAATCTAAGGAATACAAAAGGCTAAGAATCATTACTGATTCACAACCCACAACATCGTCTAATTTTTACTTCTAGACCTCTTTTGGTCAAAAAGCTAACAGAGTTAGAAAACCCTGTCAAGAAATCTATTCATCCAGTAGTAAGACAGGGATTTAGTGCTAAGACATACTTCCAAGAAATGCTGTCATACTGCGCTAGCATATACCACGTCTTTCAATCACTGAAATGACTGAAGTGCACTAAGCAATAGGCCTGTGCAGTGAGGGGTTCTTTTTGTACAAGTTAAACCTTTTCTATGCATATTACTATGTTTTGTGTTTGCTTATAGTAGTCGTAAGATCCTTTTTTAAGAGCATCTCAGAACATATGCATAGCTGGACTTTGTGTATAAATTATAGGCCTGTCCAGTCTCTTGTATCTGCATAATTTTGCAGCTTGGTTGATTTTAATGATCAGCATTGCCTGAAGATTGGAGCACCACTTTGCCTATATTATAAATGCGCCTTCCTTATCACCCTACCAGCAACAGTCCTCAGAGCAGGCCGGATGCTGAAATCATAGGAGAGACAAAAACAGCCGAAGAATTTCCAAGCCACCTCAGCAGCAGTGAAGAAAGCACTGGCAGCTGGTCCCAGCTAGCTAACGATGAGGACAACCCTGACGACACAAGTAGCTACTTACAACTCAGCGAGCGATCCCTGAGGTACCCATATTGTCTGTTCTCAGCATAAAATGTGATCTAATTAACCAGACCAATGATCTGGCTACCATGTATCAGGAATGAGGGTCAACAGCTTGAGATTTATTCAGAATACCGTAAAGAAAGCCTAATGACAGAGTTAGTCTCCTTAATTTTAGAAAAGGGAAAAAATTAGCCACATTCTGGTTCTCAGCAGGATTTTTTGTTATTGTAAGCGGCTAGATTCAGACAAAGAGAAAATTTCCTGGCACCACTCAAGTGCCTCAGTCTTAAAGTGAAAGGGCCATTGGACAAGCTAATTGCTGCAGTCTTTCCTTTGCTGCAGTCTTTCCTTTGCTGTATTTGCTATTTGCATGATGTTTATTTTGGCATTTTCTTAGCTGAGATTGATGAGACTGATATTCCCACCAGGTATCTGTGCACCAAGAACAGACATAGAGCCTTGTTCTGCTTAGAATGGCACAAGGGTGCAGATTAACAGAGGATGACAGAGTTATCCTTGGGTAGGCATAAATTCTAGAGCTCCCATTGCAATGCGCTGCTTTTTGTTGCAATTCAACTCAGGACACGCATTTAAAAATGTTATCTAGTCCTTAGAGTTCATATAAAGTGATGTTAGCTTGACTTCAGCCCCTTCATGACTTCAGATTGAGCAAGTTTTTTTCTTCACATGCTCTTAGATTTAGTTTTAAAATACTGTAAAGTATTTACATCTTTCTCTTCAGTATAAAGATGACAAAGAAGGAAATCAGTATAGTAATGAGCAAAGAAACAAAACAGTCTCTGTCAGAGAGCACTGTTGGATAGCTGAAAAAATAGTGAGCAAAACTTGTCTGTCAGTGTGGGTGAACATTCATGCCATTATTATAGTGTCAACCTTTAACAAAGTTCTTGGTCTGAGAGAGCTAATGTATTGTGCCTCTTGGCTGAAACAGAAATTGCTACAAGTCTGAACGCATGGCACGCTGACACTCACTCAGAAAAAACTGATGGGGAAAAGAGCTAATCAATCTTTCTAACGTAAGGAAAAATACTATTAGTTGTTTTTCTAGTAAAAATTAAATGGCTCAAGCTGACTTGCTCACAGAACTGGTTTGTGCGAATTTACTTGCAGCCAGTAAATTCACAACCCGTTCACAAGACTAATACAGTATCTGCATAAACATTCACTATCAATTTTATAACTATGTTATAAGTGAACTGGTACTACTTTTTCCAAATATTCTCAGATGTCATACTTATCCTTATGAAAAAGCCAAGACGAATACTTTTTCTTGTTACTGGTCCCAGTGAGCACTGACCATAATAAAAATCTCAGTCTTTCAGAGTAGTCAGAAACACTTTATGTTTCAGAAACACTTTTATGTTTCTGACTACTCTTTCTGACTTTATGTTTATGCCTGTCACTGGACCCCCAGGTTCCATCAGATCCCTAATAGTATTTGAGGTATGATATAATACACTGAAACTGCTGCTGGTTATAGGCATGGAGTCACCCAACAGCTAAGCAGTATGATGGGCAACCAAACGTCTTGCTATAACTCACCATGTTCAGAGGTACTTGAACCTTAGCAGTTTTTTCCAGGGCATCTCTATACCTGGTAATCCTTTTCAACGATTTCAAGGATCCTTTTCAAGTCATGCAGACTGGTTTTTTGTTTGAGGCCAAATGTTCACTGTATAAGGCATTCACAAGAAGATAGTCCAATTTTTATTTCCTGCAGTTTAAATCATTACTTGATACATGCTCTATCTAGAACTATCTTTATAAAAGCCTCATTATTTTGAGCGGATTAGTGTGCTTCATTCTGGGAACCACTTGCTGAGCGGAATGGATTTTGTGGAACTCTGCATAACAGGGGGGACCTCTTCACTTTGCTTTGTACATAAATAAATTACAAAAAAGATGTATGGGAACATGTTCAGTGCAGTTTGGCACTAATATTTAAACTTTTGCTTTGTCAGCAATGGCAACAGCAGTACTACTAGCAGTCTTGGCATTATGGACCTGGAAATTTATCAGGAGAACGTGCCATCTTCTCCTATGATTAAGTAAGTAGTCACTGAAGTGAGACTTGATGTTCAGTCCAACTTTAACTGCAGATCGTTTACGCCATCTAAAATGTGCCAAGCCCTGCTTTGCACCTGCTGCTGAGCCTGCTGTTAGCTTCAGCAAAGCACATGAAGGTTTCTGTGCAGAGTGATAACGCTAGAGAGGAAAGATTACAGGAAAGTTCACCCAGGCAGATCTCTTAAGAGAGCGTGGATCCACCAACTGCTCTGCCTAAAAGACAGTTTTCCGTGGTATGGGTTTCTCATTGTGTTAACTTGCTTCTCCCAGAAACTTCAAATATTATCAAAACTACTGTAATAGCAAGTAAGGATCAATTAAAATCAAGGGAGAAAAAATAATCTGATAGCATTCTTTCAAATAACAGTAATAATTTGGCCCCAAGTACATTTTACCTATTGTTTCTGGGCATGTTTCTACTGAGCATGCAATTAACTTATCAAGAGATGTGCAAGTACCTACTTAAAAGATTCTGACACCCTGAAACCTGGTATAACCTGCCAGCTGGTGAATGTCACAGTGTAGTCAGGGCATGGTCATTGCAGAAGCGTACAGACCATATGTCAAGTATTGAACACCGGATCTTTGTGAAGTCAGTGATATCAGAGTATCTTCACAGCTTGTTGCCATACTGTACTACAACTACCCTGCTTTTTTTACAAAAGGCTCTTTTTTTGTAAGAAATCTGGGCATTCATATTTCTGTAGTTATGGGCATTCTCTCTCAGCTGCCGATTTGTAGAATAATCTTGTTAAAACATTCCAAACTTCACAGTAGACAGTGATACCTCCTGCATACGTTCCTAAAGATGACCCCTTTCCTTAAAATTTCTCAGAAGCTAAGGGATAAATTTTTGATTCCCTTCATTAGCTTTCAGGAGCTATTCTCAGCTGTTAGTTCATAGGCATGAGAAGCTTGTACTTCCACAAATCAAAATCAAGGCACAGGATACATCTGCTGTTCAAACAGAAACTGAAAAAAGCCTGATGGGAAGGAAGTAATTAAACACCTCTGATTCTAAGTCGTGACAAACCATGCTACCATTTCATTCTTTCCTCTCACATCTTGCAGTAACCACCATATGAGAATATATAATCTTGATTCTTGAAGCCCTGGGGGAGATTCTGAAATCTTGTGCATGAGGGTGATAAAGAGGGTGATGAAGAGTAGTGTCTTATGCTAGAAACAAAATCTTACACCTGCAGTGTTCCCCCTGATTGAGGGCAGGATGGGACAATGTGGAAATGTGTACTGCAAGTGCTATCCCTCCACAAATGATGAAACACACACAAGCGCTCTGACAGCAATAGTGAATTTGCAGTTCCTTGCCATATGTACATAAGGATGGATATTGTGTTCAGAAATGGAAGCTGAAGCAGTGACTACACACCTGGAGTTTGTTTTCTGTAGTTTAGGAAAGAGATGGTACACAAGAAATAAAGATATTTGGAAATTTTTGCAAGGTGTAAACAGAATTTGTTTATGCAAACAACTAATACATTTAAAAACAGAAGTAGTTGAAGTAATTGATAGTTATGATTGTGTTTAGCTATGAAAGATAGAAGTAGAAAGCAAAGCTGGAAAAGATTCAGCCAGGGAGTTCTGAGATTTGCTGCATCTTACCATAATGTCATTTACTTGTCATTATGAAAAATGTAAAGATACACAGATCCTGGTGAAATACACTACACAGTACAACCGTTATAAGTACTCTATCCTATTACAGGAAGAATGCTGCAATTCCCATAGCTTTTCCTGATTTACAGATAAAATAAATGAAATACATTCAGCATTTCAAAATTCCATCCTATGTAACTTTTTTCTTGCAGTTTTCTAGGTTTTACATTGGGGGAGAAGTTTATCCATCATGAAGCAATGTTGTAGACTGTTCCTAAATATCACTAATAAGCTTTGTTGTTGTTTGTTTCTAAGTGAATTAATAGAAGAAAAGGTTTTCCTTAAAGAACAGACAGAAAATACAGAGGGTAAGTTGAATCATATCAATTGAAGCATACGATTTGAAGTTGACACAAGTAATTGCACAGTAACTGTTGGGATTATTTTTCCAGAAAGTACTTCTGGGCTTTCAGTGGGAACAGCTAATTGTCAAAAGGACCTACTGGTCATAAACTTTGATCTGGAACCAGAGTGCCCCGATGCAGAGCTGCGAGCCACCCTGCAGTGGATAGCTGCTTCTGAACTTGGAATTCCAACCATCTATTTTAAGAAATCTCAGGAAAACAGAATCGAAAAGGTAGTATTTACAGAACCGGGAATACTACTAATACATTTTAATAACAGTAGTAGTTATGACTTCTTAAAGTTAGTAAGCTTAACAGAAGATGCAAAAACCTCTTCAATACAGCAAGACGGAAGTGCTACTGTCTATTACACAAAGAGAGGAGAGAATTAAATGTGTTAGAATTTTAAGGTACGTGAACTAGTAGATTGTCCATGGCACAAGAAATAGTATCACCAGGAGACCTTCTCCAAAGCCTCTATAACATGCTTTGATGAATCTGTTCACTTTTTCAATGATGTGTTAGGTATCAACACCCAAATCAGAATTGACAGAGAGCCCTTTATGTGGCTGCATTTTAAAAGTTGTAGATGGTTTACACAGAGTTTAAGCATGTAGCTTAAAAATCACTTGCGTGTGGGCATCTAACAAACAAAGTTCTGCTACTTGGTGACAAAAAAGGCTGACTGTGATGTGAAGACATAAGCTGGTCTTAAGATTTCCAGCTTTGAAATTCCTTAGTTGTTATGCAGGGTCTGCCTTGCCTGCAGCACGGATTAGGGCAGCCTCAGGCAGGTCTGACCATCTGGGGATACCACAGGGCATCGCAGGGGCCTGGCAGTTTCTCCCACATTTATGTGAGATCCGCCATGGCCAAAAGCACTAGCTTTATAGTCACTTTGTGCTCATAGAAAAGGATTGCTTACCACCAAGTAATGGGCCCACTGCTCAAATAAACAGAAGAGACTAACTGCAAAATATGGAAAGATAACCTCTATTAGCTCAGGTTCACTGTCTAAAATATCAAGATTACAAGGCTTCTGCACCAGAGCTGATGGAAAGTTCAGAAGAATGGACCTATCTGTATAGGCATATCCTTGTTATAACTACCCTGAGAGGCAGTTTTTGTCCAGGCAGTGACCAACCAGTGTTTCCAGTGGAGCCATATTTGCAATCACATCTGTTTCTTGGAAAATTGGGCTGAAAATTGAAATATTTTGCATCATTGCATGGAAATTATGAAGCAACTCCCCTGGCTTAACAATAAAAAAAGTGTTACGTGTGCCAGTACCCTTTTGCTCCTGCTCCCATGTAGCTCAGCCTCTGCCATTTTGAAAGGAGAAGTCCAATTCCAGAGAGAGGCAGACAGACACAGACTACCAGAACCAAGAAACCTTTGAGGTATTAGTCCAAGCCAGAGCACCAAGAACAACACTGAAGTACAAAATGGTAACAAGCGCAGACTGTTCCTATTCCTGAATAATTCATTAAGTGCTCCATTGTAGATAACCCCAAATGACACCCACAGCATTCCAGGAATAACCAGAACAGCCTGATTTCCAAGGTCAGCAAGAACATCTCAAGCCTTAAGGCTTTCAAAAAGTGCCCCAGAATTCCAATCAATTAAAAATTAAAAAAAAAATAAATAAAAAAAAAGTATTTCTAATCAGTATTTTGGTCTTTTATGGGAAGATCATTTTGAGTAGCAGAGATATTGTTTGATTTTCTTGAGTACATGCATTTGGGAATCATAAACATAATTTAAAATGCATTCAGCAGCAACAGTCCAAATTGCATCTAATTAAAGAAACAGCTGTCAGCTTTACCCATGTGCTTTGGCAAACAGCTAATTCAATTGCAAAAATACACTAGAGAATAATGAAGCGCATCCTGCCTACAACAGTGCTTTTGGAAATCACGTGCCTATTAAATATCATTAAAATACATATTAAAAGTTTAGGCTTCAGTATGTAAATAGCAAACAGCTACACTAACTACAGACAATATTTTCTTGTGTGGTTTAGAACTGGAATCATAGAAGGAGCAAGCTAATTAGATATTGATTGTGAATTTCAAAGAAATTGAAAGCTTTGATTTTCATTCATGTGCTTCAGAAAAAAATGGGACCAAATGTATGACACTGTGAAGCCCCTTCTTAAGGATAAAGTGGACAAAATTCATTATTTTTTAACAGCTGAATAAGAATATACATTTAATCTCTGGTTGATCTGGAAGTTTAAAAAAAAAAATAAATCAAATACAGATACTTTCTGTGGTTCAACCACAATTGTAGCAAATGTCTTCATGTGACAGAAGTTTACCCAGAATTCCCTCTCACCAGTACTATGTGAATATTTAAAACACTATTGGATGTATATGTGGAAATACAGAAAATCAAACAGAAATTAAAATATAGATTATGGTAACAAAGTGTGGGTTTAAAAAAAAAAAAGATCTTATTAAATGGATAGTCACACTTCCATTATTTTCACAGCAAGTTGTTGATAAAGGAAAGTTGTGATCCTTTACCAAGCTCACTTTCACTGTTCTTAATTTCATTGCAATAAATAAGAAATAACTGCTGAGAGCAGCTCGTCTAGAAAACATCAAGATGTGGCCAGTCTTTGGGGAGGTATAGAACTGCAGAAATGAAGTTTTATAAATAGAAAGAACCTGTATGTGCTATGTGATGAATTGTGCCCACTCCCCCTCACAGCAGTGCATTTTCAAAGGGTGGTTTGTGTGTATTCATTTCACAAAGCATTAGCAGAACATTAAGCAAATCCTGAGCATGTTTTGTTTTGGTTTTTTATTTAGTTTTCAGATGTTGTGCAACTAGTTCAACGGAAGTCCTGGAAAGTTGGGGATATCTTCCATGCCGTCGTGCAGTACTGCAAGCTCAGTGAGGAAGGCCAAGTGGTGACACCAAGCCTATTTGATTGGCTTCTCGAATTGGGTTAAGAAAGTTCAACCTGTTCAGTGTTTTTGTCTTATTCCAGTTTAAATAAGCAGTAGCTTGTGTAATGCTCCGATTTCCAAACATCACTGAATAAAATGAGCAAAGATATACAAACTAGAGAAACAGCACACGCCTGTTCCAGAACTGAACAAGAAGCAAAGTGAAACCAAGGTGTATTGTATCTTTCTGTATCTTGAGGGACTCATGACATATTGTGCTATAGGGTGTACTGTACCAGAAGGGGATGGATTTTTTAGCCTTCTGAATTAGTGGACTACACAGTAAAGGCTTAATTAAGTGTCTAATATGTTTCACTTTTATCAGTTAGTTTAAATCAATCAGCTAAAAAGGGATAGTACACCAACATTCAGCTTTAAATTGCCAGTATTTTTACAGCTTAACTATTAGAACCAGAGTGTGCTCCAGGATGCCTAGAGATACCCATGTCCCTAGATAATTTTTTCTTTTTTTGGTTTTGTTTTTTTTTTTTAAATCCCCATAGCCTACTAAGGGATAAAAACTTTTTAACACTTGCAGTTAGCCAACAAATTAAAAAGCTGCTGAAAACATATTTTAGTTTCTTTCCATGTGATTCTCTTCCATACCCATTTCCTATTCCTATCTTCTTCTCCTCCTCAAGGAAATAAAACCTAGACTCTCAGTTACTACCCTTAAAAAGCTGTCTCCTTTTCACTTGAAGGCAGTGCAGTTCAGCATATTTACACGTGGTATGTCCCTGAACACAGCTCTTCGAGCCAGGGCAGCAGGTTTCTAAGCCCTGTCCTGCCACAGACCTGCCGCATGACCTTCGGCGAGTCATTTCACCTCTGTGCCTCAGTGTCCCTACCTGATAAAAGGGAGTAACAATAGTACAATTGTTACGTGAAGTGCTTATATTTAAAGCACTCTGTAACATGCTATGTATCAGTTAAAAATCAGTGAAAAAAAATCCTATTTTAATTTAATCAAATAAATTGTTACTAAGGTGAAGAAATGCATATTTGAATACAATACCATCTCATCATAAAAATCTTAGTGTTAATTTTTGTAACTTCCAAGAAAGCAAAATGATTGTTAAAATTTCAGCAGACATACTTGTTCGTTTTGGATATAAGTGTTTGGACTACATGTGATATTTCACATTACTATAACATTTATATAACTGTTTGATAAAATAATCTATGGTATCGTCTTGTTGAGATGATCTGTTAGTATCAGGCATTTAATGATGCATTCTCTTAACTCTGCCAAAGAGATTGGTTTTAAATTTAGAGATAATTATATTTATCACATCACAGATCTTCTATTATTTATTTCTTTGAAAATATTTATCTTTCATCTCTCTCTACCTAAATAGCGTACTAGAAAACATGCCTGCTTTTCCCAATAAAATATTTAAGAGATGTTTTATTTTCCATAACAGTATATGCTTCTGTAATATTTCTTGGGAATATGGGAAAAAAATAAACCCTATCCTTTTGCACTAAATATTTTTGAAAATTTTAAAGTAGTTTTAAATAATTTATGAAAGAGCCATATTCTCAATTTTATCTTTAAAACCATTCCTAAACTTGCATGATTGCACCACTCATTATGAAACACAAATTGTTAGTGAATCAAAATCTAATGTGGAACATTAAGCAACATGACTAATCTACATCTACTCTGCAGTGTACACAAAACAGTGAAGATTGCTTTACTGTGAGATAAAGGTCATTTTATTGTATACACTGAACACTACTGTGCAGTCACTGGGTAGTAACTCCCACTAACATGAGTGGCAACTCTGAATGCTCAGCATTTCTGAGGCTGAAAGTTAATAAAAAGCACCAAGTATTACAGACTTAAAGTGCTTTAAGTCAATAAATGGGAAAGTGTATTTATTTTTAAACCAAATACAGTTAGTGTCAGTATACAAATTTTTGCTGTGATAGAATAAATGTTTACTTATCCTACAAAGCACAAATATAATGACAGAGTTGTAACAGTGTGATGCAGTTTCTCTGTACAGTAGTTCTTAATGTTGCAATTTATTCAGAAATAAATTTATGTTACAATGTGTGTCCTCTTTGCCTTCCTAGAAAGTTCATCATGTACTATGGAGTTTTTCACCTATTAAATAATATTTGCCTGCCATCCCTGTAGCTTCTCAAAGCTCTGCTTCTGAATGAAAATCTTGACCCATGGCCCTGACCAAAAGAAGTCAGGGCAAGCTCCAGGTCTTACTTCAGCATCAAAACTACAGCTTTACTCAGGTTCCACAATTCATTCAAGAGATACAAGGCAAATCATAACATTCTAAGTATGGCAGTAGAATAAAGAGAAATTACATGTTCATTGCTGTGAACTAACCCTCGAATAACTCCCAACATAGGAAAATCCCTGCAAGTCCTCTCTCTAGCTGCTTTTAGTACCTGCAAAAGCAGGCAGGTGGGTCGGAGACAGAAGTTCAGGAATTTCTTCTGCTTGTTTAAGTTTGTATAGGTATTTACTGCACTATTGCCTGGGTATAAAGGTATTTATTTCTACTTCTAAACAGAAAAGGAAACCAACACTTAGCTGAGTAAATCAGAACATGACTTCTCTGGGGGGGGGGGGGGGTAAAAATTAAATACACATAAATAAGAACATCATACTGCATACAATTTTACGTAAAAATCACAGAGCGAATTATCTGCAGTTCAGCCTCTCTGTATACATGAGCATGATGAAGGTTGTTAATATCACGAGGGTGTCACTTTATTAAATTCAGCAGGTAACTTCTGGAGAGGCCAATTTTACTCTTTCTCCAGTGCAAAGCTGCATAACAGACAAGCATAGGAATGTCACCTTGAATTCTGCTCTCTGACTTTCAAAACATTTGGGGAATAAAAAACCACAACAAAAAAAGGCAAACATTGAAATATAGAGCCCACATGAGCTACTTAATAAACAAAAGAAATTTCAGGTAAGGAGAAAAGCACATCCATACTAACCAATTTAATAATTTTAATTCAAGGCAGAACAATTCCTAAGCCTTCTTGAAGTGAAGGTTAAAGCAAACTCATAATGCTACTACTACAATTTTTCAAATCCATTCATCGTGTCAAACAGGCCCTCAGAAAACAACTAGCAGCTGTACAGCATTAAGCAGGACAGACAGTTAAATTAGGCAGCTGGACTATCAGACTAATTAAAACAATTTGCCATGAAGACAGATCTGGCTGATGGATACTCTTCCCAGCTTCTGCTGAAATTTAGACAGTAAAGTGCAGCGAACTGGAAAATATAACCAAGCTACCTACTGGTAGACAACAAATATAATCAAGGAAGTATTTCATATTTTTCCACTAACTACCCAGGAACTGCAAAGGATAACAACAGAAGGAAGCAAATGAGAAATTCTCACAAAAAGCCACTTTTAAAACATGAGTGAATATGAATATTATCCTCACCTATTCGGAAAAGAATTTGAATCTCAAGAGATACAGAAAACATACGTCAACAGTCCAAGTACACATTGTATGCTTACATGGAAATTCTTGTCTTGTAAAACCCCTGTTCTGTCCTGGGGAAGTGACATGATACAGGCTAAGGGCTTCTTTCCCAGAAAAACACACTTGCATATTTATAGAGGTATATGATGGAAGGATGCGGAGGTCTAAAGGGCAGAAATAATACATCAGATATGATTTCTACAATCAGTCCTTACTAAAGCATGCTTCAGGAGTCTCCGGAGGTCATCCTTTTCAATTAGGTCAAAGTGAATCCAGTTTACCAGCATTTCAGGATAATGTTGAAAGCCACATCCCAATCCAAACATCCAACAGTTAAAGTAGCCACTTGGAGAGTGTAAGGTATGTAGAAGGCAAATGTGTTTATAAGATTAAAAAGGCACCAGGCAATACAGCTAAAGCATACACATACGCTAGTTTGGTAGTGCCGAGACTGAAGTGGAATTAAAGGGATCAAGCTGCTACCAGAGACAGAATGGTTTCAGGATGGTGTATCTATACAATGCACTCCCAGTGTATACCTCTATCATTTATTAAATCTTCATATGGGTAAACCAAGGTACAGAAAGCCTAACATCAAAGCATTCATATGATGGTAACTAGGCTGCTACTGAAGCTTTTATGAGGTGCCAAGCCAGAACACTTTTAAGCAGTGCTGTGAATCACACCAGATGTGAAAGTATTTCATATCTGAGCAGGAAACCTGGATAACTCAGCCTGAAAAGCAATTCTGCTCACTCAGTGCATCCAGAGAGAGGCAGAAATAGAACCCATATAGCCTCCCAGTCCAATGCTTGGTCTCCAAAACCTCAAGTCACTCACAATTTCACATAAAAATACGACAAGAGCTCAAAGTCAAAATCCACTTCAGATATCTCATTCCCTGAATCACTAACATAGTATGAGAGAAAAACCATAAAGGAAAAGACAACAGAAAATAATCCAGCCTGAAAGATTAAGAGAGGAAAAAAAAAAAAAAACCAAACTTCTACACTTTCTAATCACAGTCCCAAATTATTTTTTTTTTCTTTTTGATGGTTATACAAGTCAGATTTCAGGTTTTAACTATGTAGCAGTATTTGTACACATTTCATTACACTGATTTTCCTCCACCTCTAAGCACAGGTGCAAACCGATCCAGGGACACTGGGCAATTTTTAAGTAACAGAGAACTGCCTTGCCCTTCCTGCCCCTTTCAATTCCAGATTACTGAGGTACACGTCTCTGACATCATAAATCTTTGCACAGGACAGCAGGAAACACCACCAGCATTACTGTAACATTAATATCAGCCACTTTGCCTACTGGTAAAGGTTTAATTTTAAATTATCTGCAGCACACTGCTTAGTTCTCCCACAACATGATGCTGCTTGAAACAAGCGGGGTATTTGCCATGTGATGACAGGCACTTTTGTTTCTTCATTTGCACACAAGGATGTTGGCAAGCATAAGCATTCAAAGATAGTCAGAACACATCAGCAACTTCCTACTAAATGTAACAACATCTA